CGTGACCTCTTTTGAAAATTGGTGTGATGTCAGAGAGCTCCGAATTTATAGTGGTTTGCCTCGGCTTAGGGAACGTGAGACATCACGCAAAGCGGTGTTGAAGGATTGAAGCTGCTTTCTTCAGTGTGGCAGAATGAACCATATCCGGCCCAGGAGAAGTGTCTTTTCTTAGGTGTTGCAGTTTCCGGTACTCCAAGTCAGCGCTTAGGTTCACTTCGGAAAGTCTTGTGCAGTTGCAGATGAAACATTCATCAATATAGTTGATGTGGGTCGGTTCAGATGTCCGAGAGTATTGTTCAACCAGAAGGTTAGCGCATCACCGTTGTTATTGGCAGGGCAATTGTAACCAAGCAGTTGGGGTACTGCAGTTTTGGTTTGTCGAAGAGTGATCGCATGACGGAATAAGGGTTTTTTATTGGAGACAAATTTATCCGTAAGCTTTATCTGGTACTGAAGCCTATCTTATCTTGTTGCCTTTGTGCATATGTTCCTTATGTGTTTGTATTGTCTGTGCACATCATTGTTATCAGCTTGTTTGCATTCCACCCAATAGCGCCTTTTGCGGCTTAGCAAACGAAGAGTGTGGTTCTTAACGGCTGTCGGTTGCTTGTAGATTTTGGGGACCATGTGAAAGATAATCCTTCCAGCAAACGATTGTCGTACTTCATGTCTGCAGTGGGCTTACTGTAGATGACTCCAAATAAACACCTCGAGGTGGTAGACAACCTTACTGAGCAACATACGGATTCATCAAGATTGATAAACTCTTGATTTTGCATTTGATGTACTTTCAGGTATGATCATAAGTATAAGGCTACTCTAACCGAAACAAAGACATCCCGAGTATTGCTGGCTCATGGTCTATAAGCTGAGAAGATATCCAAGTTTCAGATATGCTTATCAGATAAGCATTGTTAGCATTACTGAGTTCACCTAACTCATCCATTTTATTCGGTAAACTCGCAGCGTTCATGTAGAAGCAGTTTATTCTTTCAATTTGAAACTCGCGAGCTTCTCCGTCCTGTTTGTCTGTATGGACCTTATGTAAATGAACAGGTGGCCTACCGAAACAAGGTTTTCCGAGTTATTGGCCTCTGTCTTTCAACGTTTTTTATGAACAAGACAGTCCATAGGGGGATGGTCAGCTCCAACTCGCCTTTGTGCTTCCATAGTTGCAGCCGCCATATGGGAGGATGGGAAATTTATCTTCATTAAACGGGTTCTAAAATCTCCGTCTTCTTGTCTAGTCTCATCATTGAGACAGTGTTTTTTGAGCTTAACGGATTGCTTGATATCAAAGTTTGTGTCTTCCGGTACACTTTGCACCATGATATTTCTTCCACGGAAGAACTTCTCGTGAGATTCCTTATGAACGTTTTGAATGTAATAACGCTCAGAATACGGTATGTCAGACAGTATTCTTACATTTTCATCTGATTTCAGTAAGTGACTGGCTAGTACGATATCCTCTACCTCGGTAGCGTCAGTGAATGTAGCACGAAGTAGCCTTGGGTGGTTCTAATGCTTAGAGTCCTCTCTCCGAGTGAGCCGTTTGACCATCAAGGGCTCTGTCTTGTAAAGTTTAAGCTTCTTGTTTAACTGTTCCCAGAGCGTTCTGCCATGTTTGTCCTGCAAACTGACTATAAGAGAATCATCACTAACCGTTATTGATTTCCTGGGTTTTTCAGTGCGTTCAGGTTGCGAACCCTGCTTTTTGGAGGTGGAAGCGCGTTTCCGATTCTTAGGATCTTCGATTAGCGTATGAGCATTCTTGGGGGTAGACTGTGAAGTCAAATCACCAGTCAATTTCCCCACAATACTTGAGATGTTCAGCTTAGACGGTGACGCCTAGTACTTTTTAACTTCGTTAACAGGGTTTATTCACCTGCAGAGGTTTTGGGAACCACCGTTGCATTCAGAGATCCTGTGCTGGGAGACAAAATCTCTTGAGGGAGTCTATTGCCGTCGACGTTGTGATGGTGCTGAGTTTCAGCATGTCATCACTGGAGTTAATACATGCTCCATTGATAGCAGCGCTGTCGAGATCCCTTTTCTTGTTTTCATTGCTCGTCTTTGTTTGTCTAACCGTTTTAGGACTGTCCTTTTTCAAGTTTGCTGACAACTTATTTCGCAGGCCTGTCAGTAGGACAATGATGCTGCTCACCAAAACGTCAACATACCAACCTAAGATTTGACTTACTAAGTCTGTTGTTAGCAGTTACTGTGATATCTGTGCACGCCTCGAGCAATTAACGTTTGCAATTGTCGCACTGCGCAACAGACGTAACAGCAAAACGGCATCCAGGTAATTTGCATGAATGTTCCATAACTAAAGTTAAGTAAATTGTCTTATAGATCTTAGCAAGAGCCTAAGACCAAAAAAGCAATACGATAAAACGGGTAAGAATGGATTAATACGGATGGTACAAAAGCTAACGATAACTAAAACTAGCATTGACGTGAAAAACTGATAAACCGAATAAAGGCTTATACAAGAACGGAAACTCGCTGGACATTTTTGTGCTGAGAATCTCAGTCTGCCAAATTTGGGGAAATTTTGGGTAAATCCCCAAAGTCAAACGACCTTCACCAAGATTTAAAGAAAGTTTTTGGGTTTTGGTTCCATTTCTTCAAAGTTTACTATAGCGGCTTTCCCAAAATGAGTCAAATTTTCACCGAAGTTGCGAGATCGTGTTGTATTAATAATACTGGATAATGGTAATAATAAGTAAATGTATATATTACTGAAACTCTATTGAATTTTGAATACGTTGAAGGTAACTTTTTAAACTTTGCAGTCTACTACTTGTCCTCATGAAAGTTCAGTACGTTTTCGAATCTATGGAGAAAAGTATTTGCTATTGTTAATCCCTACTTGTAATGTGCTCAATAATCCTCTTAATAAAGTTTGGTGATTTCGATAGTCAAAACTATGTGCGCCTAAAAGTTATGTCTGGTCCTATGGCCAGCGATTAAATGTTTTTTCTTCAAAATATGTTTTACGTTGTAATAATACCACATGTATGTATATTTAACTATTGTTATCAATTAGAATCGGTACTTAAGTTACTAAACTATTGGTTTTCGAATGTCATCGTCATTAACCTACGTCAAATCAATATTAAATTTCAGTGTGTATACTTTAAGTTGACAGCAGTTGTGGTGGATGGAATGTCAGCGTCCTTATAGAGAATGAAATAGAATGTAGTTAACTATCCATAGCTGCCAAATTAGAACCAGTGAGCAAACAATGACACAAGAATCCCTCTAATCAACAAGTTAATTCAGTAGGCAGAACGGAATCGTATTACCTACGGTCATCAAACAACATCCTCAAATTCGTTTCTTGTAGTCTCACAGTGAAAATAACTTTAGGACTAATTAAATTTTCACTAACCATACACTACATCAGAGATCTTTATTCATGGAACGATGATACGTCCAACTCATAACAACCTCACTAAAGAATATCCTTCTGATATGCACCTCCATCGTGAAGATAATGTAATCAACAACTTAAGAACACCAGCAGTAAATAAGGTGAGGTGTAATTTAACACCACTATCGTTGTCATCATCTCCTTTCACGTTGAGCACTCGATGTACGTATTCGATTCTACCTTGCATATTAAGTGCTTCAGCTAACAGTGAGCGTTTCTACTCAGTTCGATCAGTATGTTCGCACATTTTTGCCAACATTCCCAACTGAAATGTCCTTTGTTCAGGCACACAATATGCAATCTCACACATGCTGTGAAATTCGATCTCTGCGTCTTATCAAGACTTTCGATAGTTTTGCGCAGGTCCATGTAGTGACCTAGCATAATTAGTAAACATCCACTTCCTTGGTTCACACAGTTATCTTTTCCGTTTGTGTGGAATCGTTCGCGTAATGACGGCTCATCTGTTATTGGGGTTGACTAGTGTAATATCTTCACAAGACGACTGAAGAGCGGGTCCTACCATTTCCACAATATACTAAGACTTCGATTCATTGCCCCTCTCCTCTATAAAATAAATCAAATTGACCTACTGTCTTTGAAGTCGTGGAGGTGAGTGACTAAACACTACCCCAAACACTGACGTGAAGTTTTGTTCATTCTTCATACTCATAGAAGACAAGATACTTCTACAACCTAGGAAACAGTCCAAACAAGATTTCATGTTTTCGCATGGGACTGAATACGCAAAACACTTGTGACACATGTTGACTGAGTATAAGTGATTTCGTTAATACATGTGAACTGAAGTTGCACATTTATGACAATCAGATTTCACCAACTGGGTTTCGACGAAAATCAAATTTGTTTTCAAACGCAATTCATGTAAGTTATGCTATCACACGTACCATAAATAAACCCGAAGAACAAGATCAAATGAATATACATGAACAAGACAGATTTTTGCAAATGCCATCAAAAACTGTTATTGTATTTAACAACTGGCACGAAATTGTATGAGGAAACCAACAAACGAACGTCTATCCACGAAAATGATTTTCCAATCGCTCAATATATAAACAAACAAACAAACTCTTCAATCCATGCAATTCGAATACATTAAGGACGAAAAAACAAAGAGGCAGATTTAATTTACAAGAACAAAGAATTGTAGAGAGCATTACAACGGACAAAATTACCCACTCTTCCTCTTCGTCTGTTTGAACTTGCAATAACTATCAAACGCCACGATCAGTATTCGCTGATATAAATGAAAGTCGACAGATTTCGACACTTGTTCAACTTGCTAAAAGTTGATATGTTAGACAGAACATGAACAAAAATGATTAGTGAATCTTCAGAAAGCTGGCAATCACTTCAATTAGTAGTCACTGAACATACTGAAATTAGTAAAATTTATCAGACAGAAGCGTCATGAGGGTGAAATCAGACTCAAAGTGAGACAATAGAAAGTGAAGGTCAACGACAAAGAAGGAATGTCTAGTTTGAAAGCTGCTGTATGTTACTAATAAGATAGGAAGCTTTCTTTGCGTACTTATAGTCGAAATTGATTCGTTTAATGGTGTCTAGAGGACAAATGGAAACCATCCATCTGAAATAGTGTCAGACAAACAAAAACAATCACTGAAAAGCACATTATTTGTCAGTGTCATTACATGTGGGTCTTTGTGGAATATGATCGTTGAATGAATCATTTCAGTCAATTTGGTTGGTGGTTATTTTAAGTATAATCAAAATGTGCTTCAATGTGTGCTTGCATTCTAAACGAATATTTTCTATGCAGAAATTTAGTTCAATCGGGAAACACTTGCATAAAAGAACATCTATTTAAACAACAGAATGTTTTACAATAATTTTCAAAATATTTCATATGAATATATGTGAACTTATTAAAGCATTCAATGAAATAGGATCTACTCATCGTGTCTAATCATTGCCTCATTCAGTTTTTCACTCCGCTCCATTGACAGTCGAGGACTGAATTAAAGAAAAACTCTGAACTGACGCTCATTATGAAGTATTCACAAAACCATACGAAAATAACGTAAAGTTCAGTAAAATGCTCTTCTTTGCGGTGTCGCTTCAGATAATCTGTTGTGAATATAATCACCTGTAATTATGAATAGTAGATGATTAATTCATCATCAGTGCGCTCATATTAACAAATGTATTAGTGAAATATTAGGCATTTAAATACTTAGGGTTACACACTTAGTAATGTCTGAACATTCATACATAACAAATGAACAGTAAGTGCCTTATATTTTTATTTATAAAATATTAACAGATAATCGTTTGCCTATCGGAGCATCAAACAAACTGAGCCACCCAACAACTCAACGCCACTCTTTCAGCCATTCAGGTTGGCATGTCGTTATGTTTGCTTCGAAATTTTTTGTGATGATTTCTTGTGATTGCTGTGGACAGAGAACACTAATGCTGCAAAGTTCTAATTTCAGCAGAACGATATTATTGGATGCATTATAAACGATGGACGGTTATTTGCATTAACATTTAACTATTTATTCAAAACTTACAATAAACGTTGAGCAGCACCAACAAAGCCAGGCGTCACTTTGTAAAACATGCTAGAATAAAGGAAAGAAAACAATTCACTTCAATTCATCATGTATCTATATCAATGTCAGTGAAGAAACAGTGTTACTCTACTAATTAACTCTACCAATTTTAATATAATATTTAGCTGACTGAATGAATTCATGGAAGAGTTCGGTCAGTCTGTTATCCTGAAATTCGACATTCTGTCTCATGATTGACAGTTGCCTAAACAACGATTTAATTTCATCAAAGACAGTATCATGAAACATTCGAGCTACGTATTCCACGAGTGCGAAACCGTTGCTTGAAGATGTACTGTTCTGGTTTTGCTGTAATTTCCTGTTATACTCAATCAGTATACATAGAACTGAGAATCAATTTCTCAAATGATAACATGATGCTTTGTACCAAAGACATTCAGTATAAACCCCACAACAGATCTCAGACGTTTACCAATTTCAATTCATGTGTAAAGGAAACTGGATTTATTTTGCAATTTTTACGTGATGAAAACATCACGGTAGAAAACACTGTTGCATTAACGTTCAAAGCAGGTGAACATGAATTAGAAGGCGAAGATTTGTTTGGATTATTCATCAATGAAATATGAGTTGAAAATGTATTTTTATTACAGTGTAGGAAACGTTTCATCGGTATTCATGATCGGCATATTTTATTAGGAGAACTGTAGCTATTCGAGAAAACCAATCAATAATAACCAATAATCACTACTAGTTTGTGGAAAACTATGATTAGATCAACTTACTTTTTTAAATATCAACCCTAAAATAAAGAGAATGAATCCAATTCCCGCAACTACAAAACACATCATGAACAAGATCGTCTTGAATTTCTCTTCTACATCTTCTAGCTTCGTACCCATAAAAATGGCTAAGATGGTGAATCCGGTAGCCAAAGGTAGAGAAATAAATATTTCATACAATTTTGCACATGAAATTAATAACGCAAAACCAGTACTAATAATTATCATCTGAATAATGAAAAAGTAATATCAAATAACCATTAATTCAGAAGTTGAATCGGTCAACGACTGGAGAAATAATGAAAGAATAATCTTCACTCTCCTGCATTCGATTGAAATGGTAAAATGAATATATTAATGGATACAAGCACATGGCAAGGAATGCCTATTCAAGTCCCTCATAGTGACAAGCTTGAACTATTTTCAAAGCTAATTCGCTCAATCAGTACACACGACCATGTTATGTGAGGTTTATTACCTAAATGGTGTGAGTTATAGTAACTTGGGTAAACCAAAAACCACGACAGCTAGTGGTGACTGCAACTTCAGGCACCAAATGTTGACATGTACATCATTGAATACAAGTTCAGTGATAGACAAAGTGTGTGGATGATTATAGAAATTCACATGACAGAAATCCAACTTGTTTAGTTGTTCTACGTTCACAACTCATTCCATATCTTACAAATGGTAATATCAACAAACGCAGATAAGAGTAGAATGTACCGGTATCACGTGTATCAACGTCCACAAATAACTGAATGACCCATAACATGGACAGATACCTTTTAATGTTATATTATTCTCATCATTTATCGGTTGAGTAATACCAGATAATCCAACCGGATCTCTTGTGATCTGAGTTACATACGTTGACATTTTTATGAAAGCAGTGAAACTATAGAAACTGGATCTCTTAACATAATGACATCTCAAAATTCAACATAGAAACTCATCTGTTCAAGTCAACCTTCAAACATTCTTTCATTTCGATCACCGTTATCAAACTAACATGAAAGTATTTACATTATTCAACAAACAAATCTACAATAAATTCAATCGATGGTTGGATGAAAACATCATGAATGCAATAGTAAGCCATATTCAACTGACGGTGATAACGATGAAGATAGTGTTCATTGTGGATGAAGAATGTAGTTTCTTAATGAATATGATTATTAATCCAAGAACTAATCCGATCAATCTGAAACACAAAAGAACGAAATGAACAACATACTAGACTCAAAGATACAATAGACCATAGTGATGTGCATCAGATGTTCTACCTAATCTGAGTTCATGAAATGGCTGAAGAAGTTCCTCAACGTTTCAGTTTGACATTTTTGAAATCATACGAATCTTGTCAGAATGATCGAAAAATGCATTACTTTATAAGTGATCTCTTGAAAATTTCATTTCATCCCCCCAAACGCCTTGGTACGTCCGAGGTTGCCAAGAAATAGGTCTCCATCTCGAAATTCTTTCAGATGGACACGCTTATACAGCCACTGCCAGACAAGTTTTACTCACTGCCTTCTTCTGGTATGGGTATCATTTGTGAAATCGAGAGGAAGAAAAGCCGATTTCCGGCGCTTTTACCGCGTTAGTGGAGACGGAGCGTCCACGTGGGTGAGTTTGAAAACCATGATTCCAAACTGATGGTGCACATGGGCTCCAGGATCCTGAGGGAATGAATGGCGTATGAACCCATTATTGGTCACCGGCTGACATGAGGCTGCATCTGCTAATGCTGCTGAATCGCCCTGCTGGTCAGACATTTAGGTTGAGGGCTCCGGGTGTAGGTCCCTATGGAAACCACCTGTTTCGGTCTGGTCAACCGGGCAGTATAACAGCTCACACACAAATGAAGTGACTTGTGTGTCATATATGTATTCGCTGACCCTCTTCTACCAAAATGTATTATTTGAAATAAATAAGTAAATACATTTCAGTATGATCATTTATTGTGATGTGATGTAACACGAAATGAGAATGATTTGTGCTGGAAAAGAAATGAACTAGTTTTCTCTTCCTCATCATAATATTCTCGTCAAACACGGGTCAAATTACTTATACCAGTGTATTAATCAGTTCATTGAATAATACGTAATACTAATACATGGAAAATTGTCGTATGAATTCGGGGAATACCTGTATTTTAAACATACATTACTTACATTAAGATAAAACCACTAAGAACAACTGGATCTCCAAAATTTTGTAAGCTGAATGTGTCAACTGGAATGACAAATGTCTTACATGCAACAAGATTTATTTTGACTGGTTTCATTTGACACGTCATCAAATGCAAATGTGATCATCGTTTGACTATCTGCAATGGAGATTTGTGAACAATTCACCTTCCACAATCACCAATTCCAACTTTAACTGAAATAAGTAAGAATTCAAAATATAGTAATGGAGATATTCAATATCACGGATTACATAAAACCTCAAATGTCTATTCGCGTGCCTATTCCTTTCTTTTTCATTGTATTTCAGCAAGTATGGATTCATGAACAGAATTTGAATTTCATCTGACTAGTTAGGCGTATCACCTTTACGAGAATAATAACAAAGATTGCAAGCCGCTGAGAATAGATCTCATTAGATTCACGTTAGCTGCCCATGGCATACGATGGTTTAAAGTCGTCATCGTTACCGTATCCACTTCATTGAATATAATTAACACTGACCAACCTAATCATCCCCATAAATGATGCTCAATGGAAGTATGCTTTTCAGAAAAGATTTTGTCGCATTGTAAAGTGTGCTGAAGGCAGCGAGTAGAATGGGTGGTGAGTCTCTCGAGATTATTACAGACATGGTTGTTGATAGACATTGAAAATCTTGCAAACTGCTGAAAAGTGATTTCCTTCCAAATATTTTCCATCCAATTCATTAGTGTCTTTCACCTTCAATGAGACTCTCATGTTTGGAAAAGAAACTAGTTGGAATCATCTGTGCTGAGTGTCTTATATTGTCGTTAGCCTATTACATCGAACGAAACTGTTGTTATTGATCCTTATAAAACGACTTATCAGCAGGTCGAAACTCATCCTTAATTCACACCATTCGACAGAAATTGACAAACTCACATGGAATGATTCTGATGTTCAGTAAAATGGACTCAATAAAATTACACAAGTTTATAACAAAATTCACCAATTACTTTGAATCAAATTTATTAATTTATGAGTGGTTATTCTTTCATCGAACTTTGGTTAATATAACTTTATACAAAACAACGGGATAAGTGATTTAGTTAATAATAAAAAAACTGATTTAACTCTTAGTTCATTGTAAACGAATACGTGATAGTACCTCGAAATGAGAATGATCATGTTGCTCTGATGAGTTTAATGACTAAATGTAATCTCTATAATGTATTGATGCCAAGAGAAACAAACGTTGTTAACCTGTTCATTCCGTTGACTATATACACATATCATGTTTCATGTGATAGATATTTGGATAATGATGAGTGCTTTAAAAATCAATCAACAAATAGAAAACTATTTCCCACCCAATGATCAATGACAAACTTATAAACCATTTTACAGTTTTGTTAACCAAATCATCAAGGATGATTACTATGGAGAATATAATGTTCAAGGACATGAATGTCGATCAAAACCATTCTGTTAAAATAAAAAATTATACATCTTTAGGTTTATGGTTATTTGTGTTCAGGGTCTATCAATTTCAATGAAACATATCAATCTCATCATCTACACTGTAAAGCTACATAATAATAATACAATATATTTCAAGTTGCATGACTTGTCATATTTTCACCCACGAACACTGCATGATTTGACAATAATACACACATACTGTTGTTATTTCAAAAGATGAAGTGACTAGATGAAATAATGAATTCCTCATTAACCCGCAAACATCAGTTGTAGGAAACACACCAGTCCGAACACCGAATAATTTATATTTGATACGATGATTAACTCCTGAGTCAGTTAGTTAACTACAATGTACGAGCAGGCACATATATGCATCGGTTCAAGTTACCATACCTCATTAGCACAAGAAGCTGGATAACAGATTCATAGAAGTAGTTAATTCAATGGTCGTAATATATAAGAGAAAGATGGCATTTAAGGATACAGTACAGAGAGGAATAATTAGTTCGTAGAAAGAAAAGTATAAAGTCACTTTAATCCCATGGTTTAAGGGAAGACACAGATTGTATACACCGACGCCAGTGTGTTCAATTTTGAGCTATGTCACCAAGAGTCTCCAACCATTAGTTACGATAGTCGCGCGAACCCCAACCAAGTAGTCTCCATCTGTCAACATCGCCAAAATTAGGAGTTAATGTCTTCAAGCACTGATGTCACGTTTTGGTTTTGCCACTCCTAACCTTCTTCCAAACATTCCCAACACCGGTTAGCGTTGCACGTCGTGGTAACTAGTGTTCAGGCATACGTGACACGTGGCTTAATCATCTCAGTGGATAAAGATTTACAACCTCATCGACTGATTTACCACAATTCCCTAATATCATGCGTCTGACCTCACCATTAATTACCTGATGATCTCAGCACATGAGAGCTATATTCTTAAGATATCAGTAGTCGAATACTAGTAGCTTACGAATATCTTCTATTAATGTCTAAGTTTTGCAACCGCAAAGTAGAACAGAACAAACCGCCTCGCAGTATACTCGTCCTTTAATTGATAGAAAAATATCTCGCATTCGTCATATGTGACGTAAGTTGGCAAAAGCTCGACGAGCAGTCTAAATCCATGCAGAGATTTCGTCAGACACCAACTCATTAGGGCTGATCAGAATCTCAAATTAAGGGAAGCTGTCAGCGCGTTCGACTACTTCACTCCCTATCCTTAGTCCAGGTGTTGACGCAGGCCAGTCCTGAAGCAACAGTTTGCATTTAGAATGGAAGAAACGAATCTCAAACATCCCAGCATTGTTTTTCAGTGTTCATAAAAGACTGCGTTCAATCGGCGTCTTCACCAAAGAGGATTATATCATCTGCCTATTCTAAATCAATAAGTGAGGTCCCTGGTAGGGGATCAATACCCAAAAACTTAGTAGACGAGAATGTTATATCCAGCAGTAGGTCTATGATGAAGCTGAACAAAAATTGACATCTCCTTATATATTGGGATAATCAGTGATTTTGACCAGATGGGATTACGTCCAACTCTCAGATTTAGCTAAAATATTGGTCAACCTAATAGCGAAGATTGGACGACCATCCTTGAAGACCTTTGGAGTTAGTCCATCTGGACCACCTGCTTTCCCTCACTTCATATTAGCTATAGCTTCTGAACTTCAGTCAGAGTCGACGGACCTACTTCAATGTTCCATTCAGGCTTTCTGGGAATGGTGAATAGTTGTAGAGTAGCTTATGGCCAGCTGGACTGCTCCTTAAAGTGTTCCGCCCATCGTTCTCAACGTTTGAGCTGAGAGAAAGTAACAGTGCCATCCTTTTCTGAGATCGTCTCACCAACATTTGAATTCTTAATTCCAGTTTCTTTTATTGGTCTGAAAAGTTGTCTGGTGTTTCCTACAGCCACTGCCTTTTCCATCTCTTTTATTTCGTTGCCCACCACTGATCACGGTCGTTTCTTAGGCTTCTGAATAACCTAGATCCCGTTTTCTTTCGTTCTTCATCGTGTTCAGAGCCCGGTCGGATGAGTTTACGAGAATCTATCAGTGCTATAAACTTAGCAGAAATCCATTGGTTTTTCGTAACCTTTTGGTTTAAATCACTGTTAGACATCACAGCTGTTCGTATATCTTTCCATGTAACATCTTGGTCAGCTTCGTTTGCAGAACTACCTGGGTGTAACCTCAGTTTTTCCTGAAATCTACTTTTAGCTTTCTTGTCACTAAGTTCAATTCTAATGGGTTTTCTTAGTGTGATTTTTCTGCATCCACTGAGGCACAAGCAAATGCGTGGTCGTATTAGAGCATGACCGGAGTTCGAACAGGTATTATAGAACGAGTAACAGTCTTCTATCGGGCCTCTCCAACGATCACTGATGACAATATGGTCTATTTGAGTCCATCGTTGGTTTGATGTAGTGGGTCGCCATGTTAGGTGATGTCTCTTCTTATGCCTCAAATTAGTGTTTGCTAAAAGTAAGCGATTGTCCGGGCACAATGAAGCAGAGGACTACCATTATCTATCAAATGAGCCAGGAATTAACGCCTAAATTCTGTATGTGGCTATTATTTACATTCAGTCTACCACGTACGTGCGATATTTTTCAACTCACATGCACTTTTATTCCTTTGCATTATTCAAGACCACCATTTCACACACATAATCTAGCAGACTGTTGGACCGTTTTGTTTACTATCACTTATCAAAATGTGCCACATTCCTCTCTGACATTACCAGAAGTGATTACATCGGAATAAAGTATCTACTAATGGAAAAGTAATTATACGTGTTGTTTCTCTCATTTACATGATATGAGACTGGATGTCACGTCACGACAAAACTCATAACATCCAGGCATATTAGGTCGGTCTATCACTGTGCATGAACATTCACAATCTACAGTTCGATTCCACTGTTAACCTACATTTCATCATACACATACATCAAGTTTTCTAAACATTGAAGCATACCATTATAATATCCAAAACATGATGTGGTAGGAGTTCTAAACAGCTCAGCAAAGTATGTTCGACTAACATTAATCATGTCATTTAAAGAGTTCTTCCAGCAAATTCTAAATCTGCGTCAATAATTCACTTTGATGAGCATGTCAATCGGAACGTTCTATGCTGAACTGTTTTAAATTGCATATATTAACATTGAAGGAGATACTCCCCTAGTGACTTTCAGTGATTCTGAATATTTATTCAAAGTATAATTAGTTAGTTGGATTGTAGATGCATTTTCACTGTATTTGATTCTTCATTAAGATGTATTCAACTATCAACTATTCATTTTGATCAGTTCATGGATCGTTGTTTTTAATCAATGTTAAAGCGCATACGTGAGTAATTATTAGTGTTTCGCACTGATTAGTCCAGTAATAAATCATGTTTTTCAATGAACGCCAGCATAAACAATTTCACACAAAATGGATTGATACAAACGTCTAATGAACAGCCATTAGATTGTATGAAAACTAGTTATGACCATTGACTAACTATTTACACAGTGGTTTGATTAGTGATCCATTAGAATCATGATCGCCATCACGAAAATGATGTATCAGTTCACTGGATTGGATCATCAGATTACGATAACCCTCAGCCACATGTCTAAACATCAAGAAACCATGATAAATAAAATTGAAACCGCTTAAAACTATAAACATATGTCATGTTCGCATACTTAAAACTTTTATAAATGATAATAAAATTCGTTAACCGTGTTCACAGATACATGACACAAAGTCCGTAAAAAACACAAAATATCAATTCGAACTTCAAATGGAATAGAAGTTGACAGTGAAGTGTTACTTGATTTATTAATGATCAGGCACTTGAGAGTTTGTCGAAACCGAAAAATAAAACGAGACATAGAGATATTGTGGACTTCGTTGCGTTTTTTTACTTCGGTGAGATCAAAGACTTCGGTGAAGGTCAGACATGAATTAATTAGAATACTATGATCATCCATTCTTCACTGTATTTTAGTTTGGAATAGGAAGCAAAGGAATTTTACACTTGTAATACGGATTTCAAATGAAACCCTCTAACTATTCAATACTGCTTGGAAAGTTTCATATGTTCGTCCCAAAATTAGGACAGGACCTGAAGAAATTTTAAATATTGCCGGCCCATAAAAATAACCTCGGTGGTATCCAGAGCGATGAAAAAAGTAGTTGAGGCAGCAGTAGTTCAACATCCACTTACTAATAATCTCATCTCAACCTATCACCAAGGGGTTCTTAGGTCCAGATCATACGATACATATCCAGTAGACAACCTGAATGGTATAACTCTAAAATGAAACAATGGATTCCTTGTATCAGTCCTACTCTTAGACTTTAGGAAAGCCTTTGATAAAGTCCTACACACAAATCTCATCAAAATAAATCCTTCGGAATCAATAACCCACTCTATTCATGGTTTGCTTCGTTCTTAACAGAACGAAAACAAATGGTAGGGCACAACAACTTTCTCGCATCATCTGGACCAACAACTAGCGTGGTAAACCTGGGAAGTGTATAATGTCCACTTTTGTTTCTTATGTGTATAAACGATATATGTAACACCATAAAATTTGGGAAACCGTAATTATACGCTGATGATCGCAAAATAGTATACGGTTTTAAGCCTGAAGCTCTAAGTGAAAGTGTATCACAGATTGAAAGTGACCTCAATAACCTAACTATTTGGAGCGAAAAATGGCAATTACAATTTACTCTTGACAAGTGTGGGATCGTGCGTTTTGGAAAAAATCCCTATGAATAACAACTTTACTTACATAAAAGCAGAGTCCAAACACTCCAATCAGTGCACAATCTAAGTATTACTTACACAGGAAGCCTAAAGATTGATGAACCTGCTTCGTTTATTATATCTAAATACAGACGGCCAAGTGGTTTCATGATGGAAGATTTCTTCCAAACAGAGGCTCTGCTTACCCTCTACAAAATATGTATGCGAACCTCCTTTGAATATCGCTCTTTCATTCCATCGAACATGAATAACACAAAGAAGATAAGAGTAGAAGATATTCAAAGACGCTTCATACGCTGACTGTTATGATGTGACTCCACTCTCAACTACACAGATTGATGTAATAAACTCTCGTTAGAACCTTCATGGTATCGTCGGCTAAGTAACATTCCAATGTTTATGTACAAAGTATTATATGGACTCACATTCCTAGCCTCCTGCCAACCCATGATCCATGACCCGGTCTACAGACTCAGGAACAGCGCATATACACTGTTTACAGTAAAACACCGGATACCAATGCGTTGTAAGTATTTGACGGTGCGATGTGTTTTATTATAGAATAGGTTGCCAACACCTATCCGTAACTATAACACTATCATTAAGTTCAAAAGACCAATAAACCAGTAAGTTGACTTCAATGAGCCTCATGCACTATTCCCTAGACGTCCGCCCATCAACGAGATGCATTATTATGGACCGCCCAATATCTAGACGGATCATGAAAACGACAGACTCTCATTGTCAATGATATGAGTATAACCGAATGATATAACACATGGTTTACCCTCCCACACTGTTCATTGATTGTTAGTCATGCCCTTATGATTCGTACTTTCAGATTCCAAACATCTCTAGTGGTTTAAGTTGGAGTGTTCTCCTTACGTGTCGTGTGCTTTTTGTTCTAGTACAAGTAGACAGATGACTCTCTGGTCTCATGAATGCTGATCAACTAGGGCCGATAATAGGAATCTCATAATTGTCCTGAATTCTGGTAAGTCGCTCTAAGTTTTGTTTTCTTACTCTTAAAATTTTACAACTCTTGGCACTTGCATACTTTTTGGCTTGCTATCTATCCTTACGATCTCTAAACCACATATAATCTGACCAGTTTCTTATGGCTTATACTATTCGTTACCTTCATAGCAGTGTGAAATACTATATGGATATCTAACCCACAATACAGAAGCTTTGAATATCTGATGTCCTTGTTACATGAAATTAATGGAGACAGTGTGTTTCAAAAAGGAGATAGGTTAAAGCGATATTCATACATGCCGCAAACGTAAGAGAGCCTCGCATCACGAAAGGAGGGAGGGTGGCGTAATTGACCAGCAAACACGATAGTGTGGAGGAAACGTCCATCCACTCATGTCTGAAGCGCAAAACAGTTTGTTAAAATACGGCTCCATATAGTCAACTAGGATGTCACGAACAAATGGTATCGGTGCTAATTTATGATGCCGAATACCTCGTTAAATGGTATTTGTAACGCTAAATTGATTTCACTTCTTACTGAGTGTTTCTATCACAAGCAAAGCAAGACAATTAACTAAAAATGAAGAGTGCTCATGACCCTATAGAATCAATAAAAGTAGCAATTACGTGAAATAGCTTTTACAAAAAAGAAATAGTCATTTGTGTATCAGGATATTGTTAACAGTACGAATCTTCCTAATATTGTTTGCATTCATATGTGAGAATTATTATCCCTCATACGTATATAATCAAAGTATCTTGAAAAATATCAACCAAAGTCAGTGACCCACTACATCGAAGACTGCGTCTTCTGTAACAGTTTGATATTGCCTGTTAACTGGCATGCCTCACTTAACAGACAGTTATTTGAAAGTAAATTATTATTTTCATCATGAAAATATTTTCTGTCCAAAATACACGTGACGTTTTAATAATACCACATGTGTGTATATTTAACCCTCGTTATCAATCAGAAACTGTACTCAGTTTACCAAACCATTGATTTTCGAATGGCATCGTGATTAATTTAGGTCAAATCAATAATAAATTTCAGTGTGTATACTTTAAGTTGACAGCAGTTGTGGTGGATGGAATGTCAGCGTCCTTATAGAGAATGAAATAGAATGTAGTTAACTATCCATAGCTGCCAAATTAGAACCAGTGAGCAAACAATGACACAAGAATCCCTCTAATCAACAAGTTAATTCAGTAGGCAGAACGGAATCGTATTACCTACGGTCATCAAACAACATCCTCAAATTCGTTTCTTGTAGTCTCACAGTGAAAATAACTTTAGGACTAATTAAATTTTCACTAACCATACACTACATCAGAGATCTTTATTCATGGAACGATGATACGTCCAACTCATAACAACCTCACTAAAGAATATCCTTCTGATATGCACCTCCATCGTGAAGATAATGTAATCAACAACTTAAGAACACCAGCAGTAAATAAGGTGAGGTGTAATTTAACACCACTATCGTTGTCATCATCTCCTTTCACGTTGAGCACTCGATGTACGTATTCGATTCTACCTTGCATATTAAGTGCTTCAGCTAACAGTGAGCGTTTCTACTCAGTTCGATCAGTATGTTCGCACATTTTTGCCAACATTCCCAACTGAAATGTCCTTTGTTCAGGCACACAATATGCAATCTCACACATGCTGTGAAATTCGATCTCTGCGTCTTATCAAGACTTTCGATAGTTTTGCGCAGGTCCATGTAGTGACCTAGCATAATTAGTAAACATCCACTTCCTTGGTTCACACAGTTATCTTTTCCGTTTGTGTGGAATCGTTCGCGTAATGACGGCTCATCTGTTATTGGGGTTGACTAGTGTAATATCTTCACAAGACGACTGAAGAGCGGGTCCTACCATTTCCACAATATACTAAGACTTCGATTCATTGCCCCTCTCCTCTATAAAATAAATCAAATTGACCTACTGTCTTTGAAGTCGTGGAGGTGAGTGACTAAACACTACCCCAAACACTGACGTGAAGTTTTGTTCATTCTTCATTTCTATAGACGACAAGATACTTCTACAACCTAGCAAACAGTCCAGACAAGTTTTCATGTTTTCGCATGGGACTGAATGTGCGAAACAATTGTGACACATGTTGACTGAGTATAAGTGATTTCGTTAATACATGTGAACTGAAGTTTCACATTTATGACAATCAGATTTCACCAACTGGGTTTCGACGAAAATCAGATTTGTTTTCAAACGCAATTCATGTAAATTATGCTATCACACGTACCATAAATAAACCCGAAGAACAAAATCAAATGAATGTACATGAACAAGACAGATTTTTGCAAATGCCATCAAAAACTGTTATTGTATTTAACAACTGGCACGAAATTGTATGAGGAAACCAACAAACGAATGTTTGTCCACGAAAATGATTTTTCAATGGCTCAATATATAAACAAACAAACACTTCCAGATCAATCCATGCATTGCGAATACATTAAAGACAAAAAAAAACAAAGAGGCAGGTTTAATTTACACATGTGTAGTTGGAAAATACGACTGTTGAAGAAATCACTCCATTCAATATGGTTTGCGGTAATTTCAAGTATAATAGAAATGTGCTTCAATGTCTGTTTGCATTCTGAACGAATGTTTTCTATGCAGAAATTTTATCCAGCAGGCAAACATCCATATAACAGAACATCTAATATAGATAGCAGAATAGTTTACAATGATCTTTAAGATATTTCACATGAATATCTGTAAACTAATTAAAACATTCAATGGAACAGGATCTATTATTCGTGTCAGATTTTTATTACCGCTTTGTTTACAATCAAAGAAAGAATTTAAAGAGAACTGTAATGTGTAGTTGAGCACGAAAAATTCATAAAACAATACGAACATAATGAAGATTTCAGAAAACTTTTCTTGTTCACGGTGTATGTCTAGATGGTATGTTGTGAATATAATCACCTGTAATAATGAAAATGTAGATGACTTCTACATCACCGATGCATTCATATCAATATATGTATCAGTGAAATAATTGATCTTTACAGATATAGGATCATCAACTTATCAATTTCTCAACATTCATACATAATAAATGAACGATAAATGCCATGTATTTGCGCAATACATTTCGAACAATTTGATCACACCTATGCTTGTTAAGACATCTTTTATATGACAATTAAAAGGTCATCTAGACAGGTTAGCCATAATAAAGAACAAAGAAAAAATATTAAAGTACACAAAAAAGTGATTACTACCCTGGATAATAAATTAGTATTACCAGGTTAGGTTAAGTGTAAGGACAAGTTGTTTTTGAACACATAGAGGGAGTTTCAATTTCCGTGTAGCCAAGGCTTCAATAAAACTTATTATACGTCCTTGAAGGCTTTTGTATAATACTACAAATGCTGACTTGATGTCTCAAACAAATGTTTCAAGATGAAGGATGATGTCTGTCTATCCTGTGACCTCATTTTACCATTGGAATCCATTTGTTCCTGCAACCATTTTGGTATGTGTTCACCCACCCTTAATCGCAAATCACACTTGCTCCTCCCTATGTACGTGTTTCCGCACATACATGTAAATTGATAGACACAATCAGATGTGACATAATCGATTTCGTGTTTTTTGGGCTTTTGATGGAACAAAGACCTTGTCTTTTTGATAATGACAAGTTGAGTTGCATGAAATGCCCGGTTGATGGCTAATTTAAGTCTCTGTTCCAACATGAGACTATTTGTGTCACCTCTGAATGATAACGAAATATAAACTCGCTTTTTGGGTGCCAGAAACGTCACAGGTCTAGTCGTATTGCAACCCTCCCAGCAGTTTATGAACGTTAAAAAATAACCATTATTCATTAACGTATCAGTCAAGAGCTTCGTCTCTACTTCGATAGTATCACTAGTACAAATACGATTGATTCTACTGAATAAGCTCTTTATTAAACCGCGTTTGTAATGAATAAGGCAGTGACTATGAAAGTTAAGATTATGCCCTGTCCACGTTGGCTTTCTATATATAGCACGTTGTCTGAAACCGTCATCTCTTTTACTAATCAGGATGTCTAGAAAGGGAAGTTGGTTGTTCTTCTCTTCTTTACGTGTAAGAGAAATGTGCTTTTGGCTTCTATTGAATTCTTTTAACAAGCTGTTTATGTCTTCACCTTTATACCTTACGATTATTATATCATCGACATATCGTTTATACAGACCCATCTTTCGAAGTTAGTCTTCAACTAAATTTTCAACATATCCCATGAACACATCAGCCAGAAATGGTCGTAGAGGGCTACCCATAGCTACACCATCCGTTTGTCGGAAGTACTCACTTTCAAAAGTGAATTTTACATTATATGTACACAATAATAATAAATCTTCATACATAAATATTCTTAACAAGTATATGTGTGATTAGGTTGTTCAAAATGTATTGGGCAAATATATCACATAATTCTGATAGACTTCATCTTCTCATTGCATTATCGAAATTTATCAAAGGGACTAAGTGATTTGTCAAATATTGACAAATAATCGTTTGTATGAATTGAGCATCATATAAACTGGACCATTCAATCAAAGGGACGAATTGATCCACAAATACTTCACTACACAATATCTCCCTCTCTGTCGTTCAGCCTTTCATCTCGTAATGTTTTCTTCAAAATGTTTCATGATGAATTGTGTTGGATGCTGTGGAGAGAAAACACTAATGGTGCAATGTTTTATTATCTACTGTACAATGTTTTTCAATGCATAATAATGGACGGACAGTTATTTGTATTAAAATTTAATTATTTATTCAAAACTTACAATTAATATTGCACAGGACCAACAAATCCAGGCTACACCTAGTACAATATACTGGAATAAAGGAAACAAAATGATTAACTTCAATTCACCATGTATGTATATCAGTATCAGTGAAGAAACAGTATTACTCTGCTAATTAACTCTGCCAATTTTTATATAATATGTAGCTGACTGACTGAATTCATGGAAAAGTTCAGTCAGTCTGTTATCCAGAATTTCGACATCATGTATCCATTCTTTCTCATGCTTGACAGTTGTCTAAATAACGAATTAGTTTCTTCAATGACTGTATCATGAAAAATTCATGTTGTTGATTCCACGAATGTGAAAACGTTGATTGAATATGTTATGTTCTGATATTGCTGTAATTAACACATATACGGAATATGAATATACAGTAGTGAGAATCAATTTCTCAAATTATAACACTATTTCGTACTGCTCTAGTCTGTTTGAACATCCGAGCTAGCCGTTTCTGCCATTTGAACATTTCAACAAGCTTCCAAATTTTATTTGTTTTAATACATCATGCTGCTTATTAATGGCATACTTTATTCAATCTGCGTTTATAGAAACGGTTCAACCTTTCGTTGTACATGTTACAAAAGACCTGGTCAGAGATATTGTGATTGCTGAAAATATGAAGCAGATAGAATGTACATTATTTAGATAAAGTGTATCGCTAACTTTTAAAGGGTAATCACTCAATATTTATCGTCAGCATCGATCATGAATTAAGAAATGGAAACGTGTTAAAATCTATGATTAAATCAACTTACCATTCTCAATATCATTCCTACGAAGAAGAGAATGAATCCAATTACTACAAATGCACAAGTCATCGTAAACAATAGTATCTTCCATTTTCTTTTTGAATCTTGTAGCTTTTCACCCAAAACAATTGCTAAAATGGTAAACCCTATAGCCGCAGGTACAGAACTAATTAATTCGTACCATTTTACAAATGAAATTAGTAATGCAAATCCAGAAATCATAATTATCATCTGAATAGGGAAAAAGTAGTGTTAAATTAGCATTAGTTCAAAAGTTGAATCGGTCAACAAATGGAGAAATATTGAAAGAATAAAGAGAACAAGAACAAAGATTGTTGTAGAAGAATGGCAATTTATTTTATTTCATTAAGTTGTCATATTATATTATATTATTCTTCACCAATCTCTGTTCTTGCTATCTTCAAGATAATACAGGGAACTGTGTTAATGAAAGAATACTCCTGATTGTCCTACTTCAGATTAAAATGCCTAACAAGGGGTATTTATGGATAACAAAACGTAACGAGGAATCCCTATCGAAGTCTATCATAATGAAAAACTTGAAATATATTCAAAGCTAATTTCCTCATCCAGTAAACATTATGATGTTATGCGACTGAAAATGTCTGAATATGTATTCGGAGTTTGACAGCGCTTTAACCAGTAACACTTTCTAATGTGAATCGTACCCACCAAGTGAAATCAAAAGATAAAAGCGAGGAGGTCAGAAGATATATTTGATAGGCTATCAATAAATCGAGGATTGTAGTTAATTATACCAACTTGTGTAAACAAACATCTACGACAACTAGTGATGACTGTCACTTGAAGCACCAAATGACGACCTGTATATAATTAAATACAAATTTAGT